AAACGATCGGAAAGCGAACAAACGAGTGCCGCGGTAGGTAACAAAGCAAAGACAAACTCTTCGATTTTCTTGCAAATGAAGAATCGGCAACGGGATCCAATATCGTGACCAACGATTTCCATTTAAATTCGACCGTTTCCGTCAGGTCTGTGGAGCACGAATGGAAAATTCCACCAACCGTTGCGACGACTAATTCAAAGCGAGTTTTAACGGAACTCGTGAAAACTCGAGATTCGTTGCGGGCTCACGGAGAAACAAAGAAAATCCGTATGCGTGCGTACTTATACCGTCGCATCGTTTAATTGTACAAACTTCATGGGAAATTCTTCGGTGGCTCGGTTGAGAGCAAAATCAGAGACACAGAACTCGTGCCTCGATGATTTCGTTACTTACAAAGGAATACACGGAAGTGTCCCCATCCGATTTTAATGAAACTTCGTATGTCTGTTAAGCAGTCAAAAATAAGGGATACGTATTTTTTTTTATCGGCTGAGTACCACGGGAATACCAGTTTTTTTATCTGGGTTCGTGTCCCGGCGGTAGATTTTTCCAAACTTCGACCCACATTTTCTCAAAAATGAATGGCCATATGAGGCTAATGTTCTACCAATGCTTTCCATACATGTGTACCTATAACCCTGCACAAGCACATTGAAATCGGAGGGGGACAGTATCCCTTATTTTTGACTGCTTAACAGACATACGAAGTTTCATCAAAATCGAAAGGGGATACTTCCGTGCCTTCTCTTGTTAAATACAATAACGTTTCGGATCGTAGAAAACCGCGAGACCAAGCTGACCTTTGGAGATTCGTTGTCCTGTAGGCAAGCTGGTCAGCTGTTAAACATCAAACGAATCGAGAAACGTTCTCTTTGGCAGCCGGCCAGCGTGTCGTCCCTCGATAGATTTTACGCGAACTCGTGAAACGCTGTTTCTCCCCTACGTGGTCGTCGCGCGAACGCACGAAACATGTACGCGTACACGTACATATATTTTTTTTTCTTTCATTGTGACACGCATACAAATCAAGATTAGCTCGACGAGCGGATACGATTTATCGGTCCCCGCGTAATTATTTCGGCCTTCGTCACATGGGAATTTCAATAAATCACGAACGATTCAAATGAAAGCAAAGTTGGTCGGGTCACGAAAAAGGACGAGCGGGTCCGTATCCATAAACAACGTTATAAAATTAAGCCCCGCACGTTCCCGTACCCGTATAGTTTCGATCCGTGTCGTAAACCCAGTGGTAAACAGTGAATTCGTGTACACGCGGCGCTTTACGGTGCACTCGACGCAGATTTCGATCCGTTGTAAAATCAACGTTCCCGCGGCGTGTACTCGAATCGGAATCGCGTAACACGATGGAAAGGTGGGCACGTGGCAACAATGACCGTATGCGATTGTTTGCGAACTGCTTGGTCATCGGTCTCGGTTTCACGGGAAAGATTGATCGGAAATACGCAATCGTCGCGTACGCAACGAACTACGTATTATGCTGCGTTACCGTTGAATAGGATTTTTCGTGTGCCAAACTATGCTGACGGTGATTCAACCAGCGAGCCGTTTACTTTCCCGCGCGTACTTCTGCTTACACGCGGCAATTAAATTCTCTCGATACGCTTGCGAACGCTCCGGAACACGTTTACACAGTGAAATAGAAGTGAACGGAATTCGACCGAGAGGCAAAAAAATCGTGCAGTGACATTTCTGTTTTGCAAACCGATCGATCCAGGGAAATCGTAGGATCGTAAACATACAATTTCTTCTCTGGTAATCGTGCAATTTCATCGAGGATGCTTGCCGGAGAGGAATATGTAATTCTCCTGGAAAATTGCTGCCTGTCTTCTCTAACATTTACAGCCGGACTACGAAGTTCCGATATTCTCGACTTTTTACCACTGTTTACTCATCGATTCACGATCGATGTTTATCTATCTATTTAGGTCGCAAGCAATTAATTTGCTTTCGCAGAATCGATGATACAGATTCGAGATTTCGCGAAGCATCCGAACGATCGGAAATGTAACGAGCCCGGTCAGTTGGCGGGGAGGCTCTTTTCTTCGCGACTCTCCTCGTCGTTCGCCGCTCTCCGCTTTATTCTTTGTCGAGATACCGCGATTCGATTCAACGTTCCCACCGCTCGATTTTCCGTCCAGCCATCTTTCAGAACTTTCGCTGGCTCGTTCACTTCCTCCCCGTTCGCTCCATTTTCCTTTCCCGCGGAATAAAGGCTCGTAATGTATGCAAGCCAGCTGCAGCGAAACCTTTGCGACCCGTTTTCTCCGGGCCAACATTCCGTCTCGGCGACCGGACATAAAGAACCAGAAAGATATTCTGCTTGGTCTATTCTTTTTGGCTAGCCGCGCTTCCGAGTGGAAAGCATCCGTTAAATACGGAATTTCGCGAGCCGTCGAAATAATTCTTCGTGGATATACTATACATACCTCTATCCTATCCTCTGCCTGGCCACTGAAATGTCTTTCGACCGAAGGACTACGCTTGCAACAACAGTTACGACGGCAAATATTTTTCTGCTGCGCAATCAATCTGGCAATCAACCGCGATATTTTCATTATACATTCAATCGTACGAACGGTTAACATCGCGTAAGCGCGATTACACGAACATGTAATTTCGTTAAATCAAATTCAACCCGAAAGGACATCGCCACGAATTTACGAAATTTGAATATCAAACTAAAACCCAAGCGTAAGGCAGTCGTGTACCCAGAATTTACGGAATACGGAACAAATCAGCGGTGGGAAAGAGAGAGAGAGAGAGAGAGAGAGAGAGAGAGAGAGAGAGGTCGCTTCAAAATGCTGGACCGAGTCGAGCGTTGCGGTAATTATACTCATCAACGAAAGTGTCACAAGCAGGCTCGCTTTATTATATGACCGCTCGTCGACGGTGCTGCCTGGCATTATTGTTTTCTAAAGAATTTAATTTAAATTCCGAGTAGAGAATAGTCCTCGCGCGCAACACAAAACTGCTTTATCAGATAGTTTTTGATCCAGCTTAATTACTTCCTTCGCAATGACGCTCCGCGACGGAACTTTGTAATTAATTGGATTCCGTGTGGTTGCCCACCGGGCCACGCCGCTCGGAAGCTACCAATCTTATTTAGAAGTTCCATTTCTAACTGATACGCGACAACTACAGAATTAACGTGACTCGTTAATGAATCAGAGACCGACGGACAGACGCTTTAGTCGAAAGCGTTCCTTAGTCGTCGTTTTTAACATTATTGCCGACGTCGAGCCTGCGTCGTCGCGATAGCCACGCGATCCATCGTACCTCGAGACGCGACGTTTACTTGTTGACGACACTGATTTTAATTCGTTGCCAACGACTCGAAGATACGTCTTCGAACAAGAACCGTGCACGCAATCTGCTCCCTCAATTTCGAACTAAAGCATGCGACTTGCCAAAAGGAACTACGGATATAAACATATAAACGCGAAGCTAAACTATGTCCACGGAAACGACACTCGAACTGGAACAACCCGTCGCCAAGTCACCAACTTATTTGACAACTTTATAAAATCTTCACTTGTGGCAGAGAAAGTTTAAAAAGTCCCGTTGTGGTCTGGTCTCTGACGAATCGTAAAGTTAAACGAGTCCCGTCGAAACAGATTTCATCGAATCTTTCAAACTTTCGAGCGTCAATCTCGGTGATTGGCTGCTTAACGACACACAATTATCCTTTATCGCGATCGATTTCTTCATCCGGTATCGTCCGAAAAATCGTTCCGGCGATCCACGAGGTCGGAACGAATAACGAAACGACAGAAGATTTACGAGCTCGATCGTAAATGTTCCCCAATAATCAAGGTTAATATATGCCCGAAGCTAGACGTGTATGAGCAATTTAATACCATACGAATCGCATTAAATAACGTTTCGAGAAGCATGAAAAACCGATTTCAGAGAAATTATTCCCGAGACTTGGCGGAAATGACGCTGGGACAGAGTTTCCGGATAAAAATTTCAACTACTGCCGGAAGTGCTGGTGGCGGTGATGTCGACCGACGTGACGGGCCCGACGCGATACGATGGAACAGTGAGCCTCGTGAACCGCGCTGAAGCGTCCACCAATTGTATGCGTTGAACATCCGATAACCGAGCTTACTTCGACCGTCGAAATTTCTATGTGACACGCGTGTATGAGCCCCGTGTACATACATACAGATATGTACAATCCTCGCCCGGTGTGTCGCCGTTTATTTCCATTCGCGTGAACGGACAGGTAGGTGTCATTATAGCTCAAGAAGACGAGAGTTTCGTGAAAGCTCGAGCTACGAAACGAGCCTCGCGTTTCTTTCCGTTGCCGGGTATATTTCACGATTTAAAAGATAATTTATTTCATGCGCGATTCTTCCCCGTCGTTTTGACGCCATAGAAGATTAAACGAGCTGCATGCGTGCGCGAGCAATTTCAAGGGAAGCGTTAAAGTAGGTATATTTCATATTACGCGGGAAGCGTAACGCTCGCGAATACGCTAACGGGTGAATACGAAAAACCAATAAATTATTTCCACTCTATTAACGTAACCGTCGATACTTCCCACCCCCGTGGAAGTAACGGATCACGGGGAATTTTTCTTTTTCGGAGAACGTATCCATAACTTCCCTAGCCGGCGCTTCATAATTCTTAATTTCGATGGTGCTCGAAACTCCGTACCCCGACCTCGATAAAAACCCTTTAAACGAGACGTCGATACGTTCCCATTCGGAAAGAAATAACGAAGGGGAATTATTAATTATGACCGTCGAAAAGAAATGGATGACTATGAAATCCAGATTTTTGTTTCTTTGGCATTTGTCCTGGATTCGGATGTTGGAGGTATATTTTCACTTCGTTTCTGCCTCGATGTAGATACGCGTTCTCTTTCCGAAAGTATCGCGTAATTCCTGGTCCGGTAATAATTTCTCGTTTGGTTTGTCGTGTGCTCAAACACGCGGCGAAAAACTTTTTAACGCGCTGTCAATGTGTTGCAGTACCGATGGAATCGATACAGGGGGTGGCAGGGCAGAAGGCAACCTTGCCCTGTAATATACAACCCCGCGAGCCGAACGACGCTGTCTCTATGGTGCTCTGGTTCAAAGAGGACAGCGGCGAGCCACTCTACAGGTAAGCCATCATTGTTATTTACGAGGGATACCTTTTGTATCACCGGGGTTCTTTCTACCCAACATTTCCAACAGCTCTGGCATAACTGTCACCGTCACCATCACCGTTACTATCACCATCGCCGTTTGCGTTTGTCCCCCCCATCGTTCTCGCAAAAACGCGGAGTATCCGTGAATTGTTCAGAGTAGAAGAAACTTCGCGTTTCGTTTCCGTTTGTCGAACAAGAACCGCATTTAACCGGGGAATTCTGACGCCTAGACGGACAGGAAGTTGCAACAAGATCAAGGTGTAGAGAAGAACCCGAGGTTTCGTTGAGTCGCGAATCGTCTCCACGGGATATTCTTTCTGCAAGGATTTCGCAGACGGCAGTTTCGATCCCCGTAAATATCACGTTTACGGTAAATCCCTTGAAACCAGGATCAGAAGCGAATTCTGAAGTATGTATCGTCTTCTCGTTTCCCTTCGTGACCGTGTTCGTCGCGGTGGTACACCTTTCTCTTGTTTCTCGTCGGTCTGTAGCCTTAGCTCCTGGCTAGGATTAATCCTGAAAGTCGCTGGAGCGTCAATTCCACGTGGAATATACGAACATCGAGAGTTAACGCGACGACGTAGCGGCGGCGATGAAATCACGGTTGCAAGTGTAGTATGGGCGCCCAACGTTTCCGAACGGGCACCATGGTGCCTCGTAAAAAAAAAGTCTTATTTCACGAGAAGAAAAATGCATAAAAGGAACTCTGTTTTATTCTCCTCGCGAGCCGTGGAACCGGTCCGTTCGTGCCTCACCGGCGCTCGCACGAGCAATAAAAACTTTCGAAATGTCTTCCTCCGAAGGCGCCAATGATATTATTCGGGCTGCTCCGCCGCAGCAGCAGAATTCAATATTAATATTTAATCTCTACGAACAGGATGCCAACGACGGAAAAGAGAAGCACGAGGCGGAATAAATTTCGTCCAGGGATTCGTGCTAAAATTCGTATGATTTCGTACCCTTCGAGACATGTCGCGAATTCACGCGTCTCGTCGGTGTGATTACAATGCACGCGCGAATGTCGCGGAATATCGTTCATTTACTCGGGAATGATCGAGTGTTTGATCGTTTTGTTCCGGGTTTTGTTTGGTACACGGGAAACGAACGATCGATGGTACGTACATCTTTTCGATGCTGAAGGAGGTAATAGCGTTGCACGACTCACTTTCTCGAGTGGAAAGCACGAGCTTCAAGATGGCCGACGATCAATCCTCTTATTAGCCATGCATTGGTACAGCTGTGTATACATGCATAAATGAAGTTATACAGAATACATGGTTACGATCGGGATAACAAATAGCTTCGCCGGTACAATATGCGTTCACATCACGGTCGTCCTTTAATTAATGTGCTTCATCGTCGTACAGTAAATGAACGTTGCTAATGAAATGCAAATTCGGTCGAGAGGCTTAATTATAATGCGTTAGAACGTAAAGATGCGGGGTTTAGAATCGTTGCTTCCTCCACTTGCGAAATTTCAGTTGGTACGTGTGGTTATTCGAAAAACCACCGGAAAAGGCAAGTCGCGTGGTGTCTCTTCAAACGCGTTTCTATAGTTCTGCCAAAAGTAGCAATAACGGGGAAAGCGTACTCGCGATACGTTTGCATAAGAAATTCGCAAGATTTTAGAAGCACACACACACACACAGAGAGAGGCGAGTTATTCCGGGCAAGAGCGTTAACCACCCTGCCTTTCCACGTAACGGACAACACCGCGCTTATTAAACGCGTGCCAGGATTAAAAAGAAACTGCTTGCGCATTCAGGAATGTAATAGTCTTCTCTCCGAGGCACGTTGTACAATACTTCCACCGTGCAAAATATACTGCGACAATCTGCGAAGAGTTAATTGCTCGGCAGTCTTTCAGAGCGGAGAAGAAACCGCGCGACCGAAGAAGTTCGCCGTGCTGTGCAAAGAAGTCTGGCGTAAAAGACGTTGGCCTAACCGTGACACGAGTGAAAAAGAGGGTGATACGATTTTCTTGTTTAGCGTGCACGTTTAAAAAGTGGGCAGCGTACGATGCGTCGACGAATCGCGAAAATGGAGCGGCGCGCGCTTAGGGATCAAAGTACTCGAGGATCCCTTGGCCGAAGATCAAACGTCATAGCCAGTATAATCGCGCACTCGCCGTCAGACGCATCGGCTAACGAGAGTGCGCCACTTGGCATTTCCGCTGAACCGTGCCGGATCGTTGACACGAATACAAACGCATCGCCGGGCGTAACCCTTAACCCCTTAAATGCGCGCGACGTGATATTACGCCGCGCCGTCGTCGCTATTAAGCCGCCTTCCATCCTTCCCTTCGTCGACCCAAAGCTTTCCCCTCCCCTCCTTCCCCCCCCCCCCTACCGACCATTTCGTCTCTCTTCCTTTCTATGCCCAGCCGTTTCCACCTCGACGATCGTTCGAGCAACGCGATGGCATCTTCCTCGTTTTCACCAGCATTTCGCGTTTACTTGCCTGCCGCCGATCTGCTCCACCTCTTTTGTGCCAACCTGCACCGTGTCTTCCGCCCCTTTCCGCTTCTCCGGTCGGTTCTTTTATTTTTTCTTTCTTCTTTCATCGCGCTACGCGAAACTTTCTGCTGACCACGGCTTCTCGAAGAGCACCTTACCTACGGCGGTTCTAATCCGATTGAACCTTCTCAGCGGCGTGTGAGACGAAACTCGACGCTCGGTTAACTCGCTCGTACAACCAATTCCTGTCGATCGCGCGACCATCCGTCGCTCGTCACGCCTTCACCGAACGTTCCTTTCAATGCCCCGTTTTTCAAACGGCACGACGACGCGTCGCCAAAGTGAAACGAATTCGTTCGACTCGACGCCTCGTCGATTCGGAACTTAACGCGCAATTAGAGGCCGTATCGGACACACCGTCGCCGGAGTAAAATCGGCCGTACACATGCACAACACCCGAGACAGCTCTGAACGAAGCAAAGATCATCAAACTCGCATACAAACTTTAATTGCTTCTCACGATGAATCGCTGGATTGTGCGGTAAACTTGCCGAGTACCGACGCGCACCTGCGAACCGTTTCCGACTACTTCCGGCCGACGGAAACACCAATCGCGCTGACGTCAGCCGCTAACCCGCCGAGCATCGTGCCCACACCGTTCAACCTCACTCGCGCCACGCCACGCTTCTCTCGATTCCCCTTATTCCTTGACGTCAAAACTCCACGGGACCAGCGTTTCCCACCGACGAGGTGGCAGCGGCGGCATACATTTCCCTCCAAAGTTCGGTTACTCTTTCGATGGTGTTCGTGAGTGCGCGTGACTTCGAGGTCGGTGAATTGTTTCAACAGCGAAACGATCCGTGAACCAAGATAATGCGAGTAGTTTCGTTTAATACTAAGAGAGTACGCTACTCACCGGTTGCCACGAACCGCGTGCTTTCGTTCACAAAGATGGCGTCTGTCGTGAAAGGTGACGCTCGATTAAATGTTGCCCGCGTCCGTCGCACATTTTCGATCGGGAAATTAATTGACCCGTTTTCGGGTCGGCATTGTGCTCTCGACTTACGTGTAGAACGTTGTACACGCGCCTTGCCGGCCCGAAGCTGCGTTTCACCACCAGGAATTATCGCTCCATTGTCCGCGCTGTTACACAACAGGGTAACGGACTTCTCGTGCGCGGAACGGTACGGACCTACCGGCAAACCGTTCCATCCGTTATTACGGGCTATTGTTACGCGTCGCTCGTTTCGCGATTAACCGTTATCGCGGTAGTTGGACACCGTTTAACTAAAAGCACCGATCGTGTCTCCGGGGCTTTTCGTTTCTTTGTTCGACCGGCCCATTTTTCTCGAGTAAAAATTGCTGAACACCGAGCACAGGATCGACCGGCGCTGTCTGACTACGTCCGTGGAAATACTACTGTCGCGCAGAAGGTGGCGACCGCGAGCATCAGCCTCGCAGCCGGCTCGCCGCGGGCTGACCAGATACGTTCCTATGCTACTGCGGCCAGAAAATGCTCGCTCGCATACCGCTATACTGTGTCCGGCGACACAAAGCACGGATTATCTTTGATTCCCATCTCTGTAATATGCATTATAACCGTTTCTTTCGGAAATACACTTTGAATGTTCAGGCGCTATTACGAATAATCGTTTCGAATACAATCGCAATTACGGATAACGCTTCCTGAGACCATAAAATGACCATCCAAAGACAATCGACTAAACGTAATGGAAACGTAATCGCACAGACGCGAGCCGGCTTATTCGTGTAAGCCAACCGTGATTGGTCGGCGAGTTCTATGAAAGCAGTGCAGATTGTACGATAACTACCGATTGACGTAGCTAGCTGCACCGAACCGCCGTCGCCGTTGACGTTCCAGCTACCGATAGATAACTGGTGACCGATCACAGATCATCGACCTCATTTACATTTACATGCACCGATACCGCGGTCGCTTTTATCTCGCGTCCGCGCGCACCTAGATTTCCTGCGCCAGATAAACGACGCCGATGTATGTTTGATGTCCATATCGATAAATCATCTCTTTTGGCGCGCACGATGACAGCTGCTAATTCACGGCACGCTAATAAACCGTTAACTACGGATTCGATTTCCGTGGTAAATACCGACGACAACGGCTGTTCAAATGATTCTAATCGCGGAAAACGAGCGTTGAACGAACGTGCATATGTGTCGACGAACGGAAGACCATTTTGAGTTCGATCAACACAGCTCGTCGTTGCAGATTAGATTGCCTGAAATTTGTACGAATAGACAACCTTCCCGGGTAACAGTCACGCAGCCTTCGTCTGGTTCCATTCTTCTTCGAGCGGCGCTTCTGTTTGTACGCCCCGTCATCTTTAAAAGCTGTGTGGTTTGTTTTGATTTCCCTCGAGTCATCGTGGTTCGTCTCCGATAGCGTTTCAGCTTGCCTGGGAAACTGGAACTAGATCTATACGAACTAGCAGACCCCCATTTTTCCAAACGACGAACCATTTATGAATTTTATTTTC